CTAAAAAGTTTTCTTCGTAAGTATTCAGAAACGCTTAGCGCAAACTTAACCCAAATTGTTTATTCGACGTTTCGGGACATGCCCACACGCGTTTGTTTCAATAACACGACGCAAAACCAACAATTATCTCACCAGATTATCGTACGCCACGAAATAGTAATCGGTCTGATTCTTTACGAAGTTCACAAACTAAATTTAGCCAAAGTACTCGTTCATCCAAGTCTGGAGGTAGTGAAAATTAACGAAACGAAACAAACGTGCAATAAATTTCAATCGTCCAACATCCTCTCTAACCTCTAAATCTAAATAAACCAGCTTTGGAGTTAAATAAGACTTACGCAGCGTATTTAAATTTTTCGTTTAAGAGTACAATGCGAGTCGGAAACTAAGATTAGAATACAAAGTGACACGTAAAAACGTTACGCACGCCTCTGCATAGGTAAATGTGTTGTGAGTCAATAAAAAATGTTGCGCTCAGGAGTCAAGAGCGGAATAATTCCGCATAGTTTTGTTTCGCAGAAGCTTATAAATATTAATAGCTAATTACGAACCTCGGTGGTGTGGCCGACGAGTGTGCTTCCTTGAATAACGTGTAACTATAACTCTGGATATGCAAAGTGCTTCGATTGCTTATAGCTTATAACTTACTAGCGACCCGCCCCGGCTTCGCACGGTTGCAATACTGATACTAAATACACTACAGAAAAACTGTGAACGTTGTGGTATAAAATATATAGCCCATGTAATTAAAATCGATCCAGTAGTTTTGATTTATTCATTACTGCCCCTGGCCCGCACGCGTTAAATTTGGAGTAAAACAATCCCCCTTTCCCTATACCATGAAGATTTCCTGCTATCTTTGGAATATCTAAATTCATACACTACATTTTTACTTATTTACTTTTCACATTTTATAGTATGTGCCGCAGTAAAAAATATCTAAATTCTTACCATTTAGAAACAAAAGATAATCAACAATCATAAAAAACAAAATATACCTATTCTATTCAGTTCTTTTTTTTACTGAAATACCTCTAATTTATATTTTAAAACTACTATCATACAATTATTTATCGTAACTTACTTATAATTACTGATACGTTGTCGCGCTGAAAAGAACGTTTTATTACCTAAGTATTGCTATTTTCCTCGCTGGAGAGCTCCGATATAATAAACGTGCCCGATCGCTGCGAAATTCAAAGTGCTACAGAGAAAACCGCGGCCGGCCGGTACCGCCGAAAACGCTACGTCCGCAATTTTTAAAAAATCCGTTGCGTAGTTTCAAAGATTTAAGCATACAAAGGGACAGACAGAGAAAGCGACTTTCCTTCTCCAAACAAAAACATCAACCGATCAACTTCAACCCACACGTACACCCATGCACACGTCTGTGCTTAGGGGGGGGGAAGCTACGAAGCATCGCACAAAGAGTAGACGGCAGAGTTTACAACATCATATTAGAAACCTCAAAAATAACAGTACTTCTCCACTATTTAATGGATGTTATTATACATACAAACCTTCCTCTTGAATTACTCTATCTATTAAAAAAAACCGCATCAAAATCCGTTGCGTAGTTTCAAAGATTTAAACATACAAAAAAAAAGCGACTTTACTTTATACTATGTAGTGATATGCTTGATTTTGTGATCTGCTGAGTACGCATTGAATATTCACTCTGCGCAGGCGTGGAAGGCTTAAGAAACATGGCGACAATCAAATCAAAGCGTGCAAATATTTAATAAAAGATTCCGTTGTATTTTTTGTGGTCATTAAACAAAATTTAAGGCAAATAAACACAAAATGTGTTCGTGCTGATTTTTGCAAACGTTGTAAATAAACAAATAAAGGATTTCCGAGTGTAATAAACATACATACAAATAAATAAAAGATAAATATAAATATTTTTGCTTTCCACACAAATCCATCACTGTTAAATTATTTTTTTATTTCTAAATATATGTCGCATGGCTATAAAAGTGCTCGTCTCATGACCATGACTGCCCATAATGGGTGTCCGATGAATTAAAATTACTTAGGTCATACATTCACACACACAAACATATGAAATACACGTGGAATCAAAACTCAGGTACCGCCTTGACTTTAATCTCGACCGAGATGCGTAAATCGATTGAATAACTCCAACACAAACCGATAATCGAATTGCAGCAACTTTCAATTTCAATCGTGTATAGAATACATACAATTCACCGTTGCTTCCGAAATTGACCACAAACATTCCTTCCACACAATAAAAAAAAAACTAAAACTAGTTTGATGCACTACGAAATATTAAATAAAGAATTTAAAAACGAAACGAAAAGAAAAGTGAATCATGTAATATGCATAATACCTGCGTATCAGGTGGAAACAAGTTTTATGAATCATATTAGTGAATTTGTACGCATATGCGCAAAAACAGTGGGGAATTGTGTGTTTTCGACGTGTTGCGATGGTGAATTTCACAAATTGGAAGTGGAACGGAGCTGAGAGAGTGTGTAAGGACATTGAAACACAATTTTGGCGACTTTGTGAGTTGTTATGGTCATGTACATTCGCGCAATATTCGCAAAGCAGAGGTTGTTAAATATGGTGATACCATCTGCTCCAATGGCGCATACCTGGCGGCGCCATATTTTTACTTTCTTTCGTTAAAAAAGAGTGGTGTTGTATTTTAATCGGATTTTAAAAGCATTTTACGCATTTCTTTAACTTGTAATACTAAAATATTACATCATTTCGTGAGTAGGTATTAAAATATGAAGTAATCTAGAGTTTTAAGAAGAAAACTCTGAAATTTATTGAAATATTGTGTTTCAGAAGTGTTTTAGGACAGGGGCGTATTAATTTTGAAGTGTCAGTCTGCAGGGCCGGATTTATTTTACTTTATTTTTTTCAAATATCTTCAGAAAATTTACTCTGGGACCATAAAAACTTCTGTAAATTGACCGTGAATAAAATCTAGTATTCAATTCGAACATAATAGACCTAATTATTCAATAAATCAATACCTAACCACATTTTGTCACATAAAAACTTAAAATACAAAGCAATAACAATCAATTATCACCGTCCTTATTCATTACCACGATAATATTTCAATAATACCGCCATTTAATGAAAAAAACGAAATGTTGGCATTCGCAGCATGTCATAAAGTGCTGAATAATTATCGCACTAAGTACAACATGACATCCCACGTCTCCGCACAAGATCTATGTGTGTGTACGTGTGACTAGTCGCGTTTTAAGCACATCGAGCGCAATGCAGGTATTATGGCATTATGCATTCCGAGCCGCCCGTCGCGACGGCCGTGTGAATGCAGGTTATTAACAAACTTATCGATAATCATTCTAATTGACAGAGTGTTGCCGGTGGGTTTGGCGTTTAATTAATGCACCGCACGCCAAACGTGCTCGAGCAATACATAATGCCGTAATGAAGCAATGAACTAATGAAGTGACTGCACATTTTCAATTTACCACGAATTGCACACAACAAAACTAGAAAAGCGAAGAAAAAACGGTGAATAACGATGAAACAATGATGGGATTGATGATGATTTACAGTATTTTGCGCAAATAATCAAGGTAATATTTTTAAAAAGTTGATTTACCAATAAAAACATCAAAATGGCTGCCAGAAGTAATTTTAACACCTTATTGAGTGTTAATAAATTCACTTTAAAACGTAGTTTTCACACATTTTTACGAACAAATTTTAACTGTACTCAGTAACTTACTTAAATATATTACTCAAAGTGTCAAATACGCGATAATGCAACCCAACTTGTCGCGGAATTATCAGCGAATAAAAATAAACCTTGATAACTACTATTGTTTTGCTATTAAAAATCTAAGTTCAAAGGTTTAGAATATACAAAAATTAAATTTAATCTTTACTTACATAATTTTATGCGTAAATATCGCCAAATTAATATATTAAGCATCAAATGCCTAAACAGGAGGAGTTTTTATCACAAACTGTGACTAAAGCCCGTGACTAAAATACTTTAGTAACAGCCTTGGCTGTCCGTGTTTAAAGAACCTTTTTGTGTCTCAAAACCATTGCAAAGCTTGCACTTTAAAGATGGAAGTAAAAAAATAAAATTTTGTAATTTTTTTAGTGAGAACTATGCAAAGAATGTGTTTTATCAATTAAAAGCGAATGTCAAACGAGTGCAGGTGGCCTTTCAATGAATTTATGCATTAATTAAGCGCCTGTACTTGAAATCACGACGATCTCGACGAGAATTCCACGAGCTAAAAGTCTAACTTGGTCAGGAACAGAGCTGGCAGTTGGTTAATACGACGCAAAAACGCTCAAAGTTCACGCTGAAGCAATTGATAAGCAAATAACTCAACATTGTATAACATGAGGTCACTTTATAAACAAATCGTAGCAAATTTACTTAACTAATGAAAATTTTCAATGAAGCTGCAAATGTTTTAAATGAAAATGTAAATAAACCGTGAGCAGAGCGTAAAATCAATGTAATTTTTTTCACCTGAACTCTCTGGATGATGAGTAAGACTTCCTGTCGCATGTTTCGCATGCGATTCACAGCAAATTCACAACACAGACAACCGCAACACGCTTTTATTGCCTTCGGCGGCGTGTGCACTCTGCAGTGCATGCAGTTGTAAGGTTTTAATGAATGACAGCGTTGAGACTTAAGTCAAGTCGCGCGCGCAGGATGCTTAATAATCACTCAAAAAACGGTGCTACTCTAGTTTTTAATTAATTATTCGCGAGCGCAACACGCTAGACTAATAACACTTGCACCAGATTGTTATTAATTAAATTATTTACCAACTGTAAAAAAGTTAAGTCGACATAACTAAAGTAACGTGAGTTTTTCGACGATTTAATACAAATTTTACTGATTTTAGTGATGGATAGCAAACAATTGACGGTATTAGAATCAAATTTTATCCGAAACACATTTCATATCGTAAAATGGTTATCGTGAGTATAAGTGCTCAAGGTTTACTCACCGTTGTTGTGTCGTGTTCGTTGGCTGCGCGTCCGTTAGCGCACTGCAACGCGTTTTGCTTTCGGTGTCTTGCTCCTGCCTGCTCTCTGCCTGCTGGTGTGCCGTTGTTGTTGTCGTCGTGTTTTGTGTTTCACTTGTTCCGATTGCGTTGATACCTCCGAATTCACGGAGCGCTGCGCGTCCCGAACATCCTGCGGGAGAACGTTTGCGCCTTGTGCGTGCATGCACATACAGCACAACACAGGGTGAAGTGTGCGGTTGCACCACCGCCGACTAACGGATCACAACACTTCGCGCACACACAGCGACTCACGCGCGCGCTCAACCTGACTGATCCGCACACGAATGCGATATGTGATGTGAGCCGCAAGTCGCACGCGGCAACTTCAGTGCTGTCGACAGCGCCACGAACGCCGATTTGAATTTAACTGTTGTTTTGGTTGAATACGTAGGCAACTCAATTTACCAAGCAAGTGAATATAATATACAAGTAATGTATCTTTAGAATATGTTTTTCTGTATTTATTAACTACTTTGAGATGTTATTGTTATTTTTATTTGTTTCCAAGTAAGATAAAAACAAAAGTGGTGAATGTATTCAATAAATATCAATTTAATTTTTTTCATTTCCAAAGTATTAGTCGTCATCTGATGAAAATTCATCACTAGCAACATATTCATCACCATCACAACCAAATACATCCTCATTTTGGTTTCTTTGCATTGCAATTGATGAGATTGAAGACAATAGTGTTTTATTTACTGGCAAATTACTTACTGGTTGAATTGCACTTTTATCAATATTTTCGCCTCCAAAATTGTTAAATTTCATGTTTGGAAGACATGGCGGCGGAGGTGGAGGTACATCACCTTGAAAAAGATTAAATTTTAAAGGAGGATTTGTTTCTGTTAAGTTTTCTTGGCTTTTTCTACTGCTTTTTTTAATAAAGGCTCCGTTTGTCCACCAGATTCTTGCAAAGTTACCGGTCGCTCCTTAAAAATCGTAATTTTATAATAAACTCGGAAATTAGATAGTAAAATTATTGTACTAACTTGAACAATTAAATCACCGGTAGCCGTGCGTGTTATTTTAATTCTTCTGACGTCTTTCATTCGATTTCTAAGCTCTTGTAACATTAAATTTTGCACAGCCACTGATTGTATAGCGTCACGATCATAATCTTCGTTATTTCGTAAACATTTACGGTCAAAATCATCATCGGACTCTAAAATTAACAAAATTAATGAAGTATTTTACGCATAATTTTAATTTGTCTTGAATTTTTGAGTTACCATGTGGTGAATATCCGAATTCTTCATCGTCACTCCCAATTTCTGCCTCTTTATGATTAATAACTTCTTTTTTTGTATCCATATCAGTAGTTTTTAAATGATTTTGTTCACAATCTCTTGATATATCTGCGTTTTCAGGTTTTAAGAGACTTTTCTCATATCGCAACAAATTTCTAACTTGTAGTGTCGATGCCTCGAGGTTTTCCATCATTTCTTCAAGGAATATACACCTAGTTTTTGCATTTTGGGATTCAATACTTTTAGTCAAATCAAAAACAATCCGTAGCCTATTTTTACAATCATCCAGTGAATCGTTATAAATAGGTACTAATTGTTTTGTTTGTTATTTAAATTATTTGTAGTTTGTTTTGGCACACTGCTTGTTTTGTGAAAATCATAGAAGACTTGCTTCAGTTCCTTTTCAATATCATAACGCGACTGTTTTATCTGAGTTGTCGCATGTTTAATAGTGTTGAAAACAGTTTCAAAGTCTTGATTAGATCGCCACATAGCCGCCTCCAATGAAAATATTGAAGAAGACATTAAATTGGAAGCAATGAGAATGTAAAATTCACTTAACTTCTCAATAAACATAGTGATTTCTTCAATTTTACCATTTTCTGGACAACTATCCATGTGCCAATTACCAATATAACTATAATAAGACTCTGAATACGTTGCATGTATCACTAGTTGTTCCTGTAGTGTCACACAAACATTTTCTAATGTTCTGCAAGCAAAACTGGCAAATTTTAAGTCATCAACTTGGATTAACCCAAAGGCAACTTCATTAATTTTATTCCTGTAACAAAAATTACTTGATTAAACAAATACTAAATATTTAGTATAGATTACTATACTTACTGTAATTCTACCATACTATTTATTCTCATATTCAAATGTTTGATCACTTTGTTATTCAAAAGTGCTTGCTGCTCCAAGTTGTAAACAAACTCATCAATTTGTTTAAAACACTTGTATTTTTTATACCAATGTCTTCCAATACTAATAATCTCATAACTTACTGGCAGTAAAGCTAAAATAGCACATTCTCTTTGATTTTCTTTTATAAATTTTGAGATTGTAAGAAGAGCAATTGTAGACACAGATGTGCTAAAGATTGGCCTGTAATTTCTGACGACATGTGGAAGGAATATTAATGGTGTATCCAATAACGCATCAAAATCTTCGTCTAGTATTAATTTTGATGCTAGTACAGCCTTTTTAATGTATTCAATTGTCTAAAATTTAAGATTTATTTAAGTTTCTGAGTAGAATGAAGGTTAGAAATGATATAAAATAATGAAATTACTTGTTTTAAGAGTTACCTGTTGTTTTAAAAGTGTTTGCTGGTCAATTATGCGTTTTTTATCAAAAGTTTTCGGTGTGTTGCCAATTAGTGACATTGTTTATACCGTTTGAATAACAAATTTCGATAAAAATGCAAACATGTGTAAAATTTTGTTGAATTGGTTGCCTAACATAATAGTTCCTCATTACCTTCTGATGAAAATACATCTCACGCCTGTTTTAATCCACTTACCTACCAAATTATACAACATTTATTCTTTCTTCTACATTGTTTACTATGATCGTGCAATATTCAGTCTCGTAAAGTATTTATTTGTCACATATTAAAAATATTTCTATAATAAAATCTCGAAAAACGGGTAAAAATTACAAATTAAAGCGTAGATTAAACAACTGTGCGTTGGTACGTAACCGACACTGATTCATTCATTGTCATACAAGCGTCGCATTATTATTATCCGACTGATGCTCATGCTTTTGATACCACGCATTCATCTCAGCTGAAAAATTGTCAGCCACGTGTGGTGATAACGGATTGTTGTCAAAGCTGCTGTTCGACAGGGTGCTGACATTCGATATGTTATTAACATTAGAAGTGTTAGCTACCAGCGTGTTAACGTTAACATCTGGAGTTCGACTTGATCTGCAACCCAAATAACATCATTATGCATTTATAAACAATTAAAGTAGCAGATATTTACGTCATGTTAGGCAAATTTCTAAAACCACTGCCCGTTGATCCAACAGACTGTCTATTACTGCCCGTAGATGAAGACGGCGATGGCGCCGAAGGAGAATCCTCCGGTTTCTTTTTATACTTCGTTGAATACTTATAAAAGTCCGCCATTTCAAAAGGCTTTGTCTCTTCATGATACGGCTTCCACTGAGCCTGCTGCACGACGGTACAATTTTTTGGCATGTTATTATTAAAAATTTCGCGGTTTTCAAGTTGGACTCTTGGTGATGGATTAGACTCCGCAGGGATTTCTTTAGGCGTGGAAGGAGAATGAAGTTGGGGAGAGTGATGATTAGCAGTGGACATTTGCGGAGAATGTATCCTTAAAGGAGGAAGCAGCGGTGAATGCTGCGCATGTTGAAAATGATGCGTAATCGGCGCAGGCGTAGTCGGCGACTGCGGATAATCCAAATACTTCTCTTCGGGAGCAATCGAAGGCGCAATCGAATGCGAATGAGAATGAGTACGCGTTCTCATCGGCGGTAAAGACGGCGTCGGCGTAACGGCAAGCGGACATGGCGGACCATCCAACGACGTCTCATACCATTCCTTCTGTTTATTCTTACGTAGTGTATCGCTGTTAATATTCTCACTCCCACATGAAGAATCATCACTTGGGCAATTCGTATCCAAAAGACCCACACCAACACTGCCAAGCGATTGAGTCCTGACCAATTGTCGTGTTTCATGCCTCCGCGCAGCTATGGCCTGACTTTTCGTCGGTAATGTTCGTGTAGCTTCTTGATAAGAAGGCACTGATGGCGTTAGCGTCGCGCTTTTTTGATCCAAACTCACCGCGGCTTTCTTCTGCAACCGTTTGTTTTTTCTCCGGTCTAAACTACCGAATCGTTTGTCTTTCATCGACTCTGTGCTGGAATTATTACACCAGAATTCACCATTCTCAGATTGTTTCCAATAACCGCCTAGACCCGCACCGGAAGTCATTACGTTTTCATATTGCTGGTGTGGTTGCAGTTGTAAAGGATTACTGGGCGGTACACGCGAATCATAATATTGTCTTGGATGCGACATATGTTGGGCGTGTTGCAGTTGTTGATGAGCAACAGGGTAGTATTTCATATTGGACAAAGACGCGGAAACGGAAGTAGACGCACCGGGGCTGTGATTAAGCGTAGAACGAATCGCAGTGTGAGTGTATCCTTGTGTATAAGAATGTGTTTGAGGGGAGCGTCGTGAAGCATGAGGAAGAGTACGGCTTATGCCTGGATACGACCGGAAGTGACCTTCACTTACAGCTACATCCAAAGTTTCTTGCCTGAAATTAATAAATTCATTTAAAAAACATTTTTTTGTTTCATTTTGTAACTTACTTGTCTTCATATTGCTTGTAGCCATCCAGACTTAACTTATACAGAGTTGGCTCAACTTTCACTGCAGGATAACTCATGTTCACACTCAAATCTCTGTGTGGTTGTTGTTGGACATGTTGTGGTGCTTCACTTCCATCAGGTACAAGATATCCATACCTCTGTGAGGCAGGTCGTTGTTTCACATGCCCAGCATGCCCACTTTGTGAGCTATGCGAGCTTGTGGTGCTGTGCGCGTGCATACTATGCGTGCTTTGGTATTGCAATGACCTTAAACTATGCCGGAAGGGCTTCGCGAACGGATCGGACGACATATTTAAATTCATCGACACCGAATCGCCGTGTTCTTTCTCCGGACGCGGTTTCTTCTTGTGTTTCTGTTGATTGAATGTCTGTGATGCAGATATTTTCAAATCATGCAGCTTGTTCTCCAGGGCTTTGTGCTTGGCCATATGAGTTTCATATTCTTGTAGGTGTGCCTTTTTTCCTGCCTTGTTGGATGTGCTTTCATTGGCCAAGCCAAGAGCTGCCTGAGCCATGTTTGCCAACATGTGCATCTCCATCTCCAGGACTGAGATCTCTCCTTCATTGTCAAGGTTATTGAGGAGGTTTTTGTTCAACTGGTAGGATGTGCCTACTCTTCTTCTGAAAGTCGGTGGTAGTTCACCAGGTTCAAAAGGATATTCAACAGGTAGTTGGCCAGTTAACTCAGCTTCCTAAAAATTAAATAAATTTAATATAACAGCTGGATGATATTAATTAAAAAGGGTTTATCTTACATCAATGCATAATTTCCGGAGCTCTTTGTGATGTTTTTCAAGTCTGTCCTGGATGTGTTTCTTCCTCTCTTGTAGAGATGCGATTTTCGCCGAGTCGGCATTACCGCTCGCGCCCATTTTAATGCTCTTCGTTTGCTCCCTCTGCATGCAATCGTCTACAAAGGATTTAGATAACGATAAGTCATGCAATTATTAAATCACAAACAAGTTGCTCTGTTGTGTATGATTCACCAAAGGCGTTGTTTTCATTTCAAACACTCACCCATCTTCAGACGTGAAACGAAGTGGTTAGTACTGCCATTTTAAACGAAACACAAAGTATTATTACAACAAATGAAAATTAGTAAAATTAACGGCGATGGAAAATGAAAACATAAATAACGGACACACAATTAGTGGACTACATCGGGGCTAGTTTAGTGACGGTGAATGACAGTTGTAGTTTGTAAGACTACAACTAGTTGTGGTTAGTTCAAAAACTGCCGTCATTGACATTTATAGCTCAAAAAATCGAATAAAAACAATAAAATTAACAATTAAACAAGTTATAAACAATATTTAACAAAAAATTTTATAAATTTAAGTTTAGTTCTTGCATATAATTCAGTTTTGCAGTTTTAGTTCAATAAAAATGTCAAACCTAGTGCCAACCTTGCAAACTAAAATTCCAGATAATTTTCTTAGAAATACCTTGTAGACAGGTACAAAACTGGTATTAATCTGTTTTACAAGTTATAATTTCATGAAAACAAGTGCGTCTTGTGATGCATCAATGAAAATTGACTGTTTTATTGTTAATTATTTCATCTCAAAAATGGTCAATAATAAATAATGATAAATAAACGCGGAATGCATAAAATAACTTAGATGCTTAATAAAATATTTTAAGTATTCTCAAATATACTGTGCATCAATCAATTGCACCACGCACAATGTTAAAAATAAGTTAACATGCTGCCTATAAAACACATCCATCATTTGTGTGCATAAAAATAAAAAAGAATAATTAAAACGAAATATTTCCTTCCGCACTTATTCAATACACAAAAATTGATAAAACGCAAGCCGAGAATAAGATTTGTACAAAGATCACAGCAAAATATACAAATTTAAACAAAAAACATCTTCGAACGTATTAATCTAGGTGTGTAATGTAACTATAGCTGACAGTATGAGAAATGCCAATGTTTCGTGTCGTATGTTTTCATGTTATGCATTCATTCGCGTATTGCTTTGATTATGATTATTGTGTAAACGTAAGTAAAATAGGTTCGCGCGCACATCTAAATTGTTGTCATCGTGTGAAATGTCTTGAGTTTCAAATTACAAATCGTTTCGTCATCTTCGACCTTCATGTTGGCGTGTTTTTCTGTTTTACTACTACCACTACATCATTACCGCATGTTTTTTGAAATATAAATAATGATAACATTACTTGACTATGTAAAAATATGTACAATATGTACAAAAATATGTACATGTACATAAGCTCACTCATCGAACAATCCATGTTACAATTTCTTTTTGTTTTCGTATGCGTGTTAAAATTGACAATTCGCCTAGTATCCATTGGTTTAGATTTTGATTCTCGTTAAATATGTATAGTAAATCAATATATCTCTGTACACTGTACACTTAGAATATTAATATTCAAAATACTAAAGCACTATCAACTCTACAACTATTTCTTCGAATCCATATTCTTTAGAATGTCACCCAACACGTCGATGGGCGCTGATAATCGCGGTTTCTTGATTTTCTGCGGCGGTTTCTTCTCTGGCGTCGGCGCAACTATCGCAATCGGTGGCGAATTATTTTCTGGTGCTGCTGCCACTTCAGTTACAACAGTTGCGGGTATTTCAGGGGCCGAAGAAGACGAAACACTTGTACTTGTACTTAAACTATTAGTATTTGTAGTGTTGCTAGTTGTTATTGATGTTGTGACGGATGTATTCTCTCGCTTTTCTTTCTCCCTGTCCTTATCCTTATCTTTATCACGCTTTTCCCGGTCCTTGTCTTTGTCCTTCTCCTTGTATTTGTGCTTGTGACCTGAAGAACTCGACGAACTCTTGTAATCCGAATGTTTTCTATCACTGCGCGATTTATCGCGATCACGATCTCGGTCGCGATCTCTGTCCCGGTCTCGATCTTTGTCTCGGTCGTGATGTTTGTGTTTGTGATGCCTACTACTGCTGCTACTGCTGCTCTTCTCCTTGTCTTTGTCTTTATCTTTGTGATATTTATCACGATGTCGACTCTTGTCCTTATCGCTGTCGCGGCTGTCTCGTTTTTCTTTGTGTTTCTCGCCACTGCTGCGGCGTTCATCTTTACTTCTACTACTGCTACTACTGCTGGTTTTATCCTTTTCCCTATCTTTACTATCCTTCTTTTCTTTGTCTTTATCTTTAGATTTTCCATCGGTGATGTGCGTTGAATCTTCGTCTTTTGAATCTTTTCTTTCTTTCGTTTTACTACTGTCGATATTATTAACAGTTGGTTTCTTCTCTTTTAATTTCCGTTCGTGGTTTTCATCCTTTTCGTCTTTAGCCTTGACTTTGTGTGGTTTCTTCGGCTTTTCGGCTGTTTTCTCCTTGTGCTTTTTATCTGTGAGAGGAGGTGACTCAGTCTTTGGTGGTTCTTCACATGGCGCTTCTTCTTCGTCCTTGTAATATTGGGCAAGTCGAACGTGCCATGCTTAAATTAAATCAACAATTAGTAACTATTAAAACAAGAGTTTAGATCGAAAACTCACCAACACTCGTCACAGCCGTCACAGTTCGAAACTGATGAATAATATTGCGAGGTAAGAAGTAAATGTCATTATCGTAGAGATTAATTCGAGCGTATTTGATGCCATCTCTTCGAAGTTGATTAAGTTTAGCGTCTTCTATCCATGTAACACACTATAAAAACAACATAAATAAAATATCTCATGTTTGATTAAATTTTAAACTAATTTACTTGTGAAATTGGAGGTTCGTGAAGATCAAGCTGGAGTTTTTCACTAAGAGTGTCAAAATCTTTGGCGTCGAAGGCGACAACATCTTTGGTGATACGATTTATAGGTCCTTCTTTGCGACCTCCATGAATAGCCTTGAGGATGCCCACAGCCGCCGTTGTTTTCCTGTCGAGACCATGTCCGACATGATCGGCGTGTGCTTTCGTCCTGTCTTCAAACATGTGTTCACGTGCTTCGGACAATCGAGGCAAATACTGAAGATTTCTCAATTCATTTATACCCGTTCTAAATAAATCAAAAACAAAAGAATTATTTAAAATTTTCATACAAGACAAAAATATTTATTTTACCTTCGACGTTTAAGTGGTGATCTTCCATCCATAGTAGGCACCAGTTGCTCTCCAGGTCTACACCACAAAATGGGTCCATCATTAGACTCTTCTCGATTCATATGCACCACTGACAACTCCCCCAGGGCATCGTCATATCCAAAAATGCATTCTCTTCTAACAAATCCAATAAATCCGGAAAATACCCGCCGACTTCTTCATGCGCCGTGCCAACCAAACTTATCTGATGCAGTGGTCCATACCTCACAGTTCCCATATCGTAATTCTTACAAACATTCTCATTATACGCCGCTAAACTCGTCGTTTCCAGGTCAGATGTGCGATTAAGCAGACCATTCTTCACCGTGAGGGTTGGATACGTATCTGCCATGTACTCCAACAAGTCTGGAAGATTCGTCGCGGATCCATGCACGATTGCCATTACGTACAACGCGCGTTCATTGCTGTCTTCAGCGAACGCCACCTGGAAGAACTCCTTAGCAAGCTCACGAGTTTCCACTTCGTTCAAATGCTTGATTTCTTCGTGATACATGTGTAATACCAACGCGCCACCATTCGTATGTTGTTCAATGTGGTAATATTTACGATATTTTAGTTTCATCTATAATTTAACATAAAATATTGATAAATATATATGAAACTGATATTTGTTGTACTTACATTAGAAGGTGGGTAACTATAATTCCCATTTGATAGTAAAACAGGTTTAGGCATGACAATACTATGCTCATCCAAAGTTGGATCAAATTTTTCTTCTTTTATCTCTCCTGGAGCGCTAAAACTCTTCATTTCTCCATCTTTTGAGTCAATTGTCGAACTTCTTGATCTCTTTCTATGTTTACCACTTGATAATCTCCTATGCGGGGCATGTGAATTGTTTTTCACGCCTGTTTTCATTGACTTGTTGCTGTGATTGTTGGGAATTTCATCAGAATGCTGACATTCATTCTCTTGAGTGTAGTCAGCTGAGCGCGGACGCTTTATTTGACTAGACGCGAACCGCTGGATGGGTTCTTCGGTGCGTGCGCGCTTTCGTGGTGATATACGCCCATTCTCGTTTTTATCCTGACTCAGACTGCTGTAATGATCATCAATTCCAGCCAGCATGTCCAAATCACATTTACCCTTCATTTTTGTATCAGCTGTGTCACTTTCAACACTCTCATCATGTGCAATGCCATTCTGCACTGCTTCCTTATCAATATCCAGTTTGTTATTGATGTTGTTGTTGAGATTATCACTTGGGGATGATGCATCACAATCATTATGCCCATCAGAGGCTTCTTCTGGTTCAATTGTTGTGATGGTTGGTTGTGGGGAGTAGTTATGATTCATTGCTCCATTTGTATGAGTATGAGCATGTTCTTGTTTGATGTCTATATCTATAAGCAAAGAAATGAATCAGTTTTTGATGCAATTTTGAATGAAATAGACGCACCATCGTTTGAATCGTGTAGAGGAACCTCAGCGTCATGATCGGACTCGGCATGGAGTCCACCGTTGGGCCAATTGTCGTCGCATCGACGCCACTCGTCTTCACCTGGTGAAGTTGCATCATGTTGCGATATCCTCGCCGCCTGCCGCTTGGGGCTTTCCTCCTGCTGGTCCACAGACGCCATTGCGCGGGGCGCCGATGGCGATATGCACTAAGAGTCGCTGCCGGCAGCACGTCAAGCGCTCGACGCCCGCATCGTACACCAACACTTGCTTCACTCTCGTACACGCGCGCGTGTAACACGAGGGCTGGTTTGTAGACTCGCGCGAAGGGTTTTTTCTGCGCCTTCAAAGCGCCGCTCAAAACAGCAACACAACACCGCTTGCCGCCATGTTTCTACCGGAGACGGACGCACGCGAGCACGACGCTGCAGATTCCTTGCGCGTCCGACAATCATACAATGTGTCACTACAACTTAAAAAATACAAGAAAATAAACATAAACATAAAATAAAACTGTATAAAAGTAGTTTACATTTATTTAAACTTGAAATCATGTAATTAGATACATTAAAACAGTTGATAATGAGCAGTTATTTAAAAATAATTTAAACTTATGTATCAGGTAAGTATGGACATAGTGTTGAAACATCAGCGTGCATTTAGTCACGTAGGCCAATCATGCACCAATAAGATCGCGGGAATTTTAAAATTTGACACTCTGTTGATATCTTTTGCTAAACAAATAAATATCGCAGCAATAACGTAACTCAAATAACACGCAATAAGTACGCAAATAAACAATTTATACTCCTGTGAATGGGTCCTTATCAGAACTTAGCTACCATTTTAATAGGTTTACTGTAATTAAAACAATATTATTTAAAATAATGCCCACCCTCGAAGTACCCAGGTGGAAAATCGCAAAAATCGAAAGGAAATGTCACTACTCCATACCCCGTGACAACAGTGTGGACCTAAAAATGCCAGTCACATTAAAATATAAAATTGTAGCACTAAACATTATAAAATAAACATAAATAATTAATTATAAGGGATAAAACTTAACAAAAACAAAAGATAAAGTCAACAACAACAAGTTGTTCAGGAATAATTAGGATATAAAACACTATAAAATACTACAACATAGTAACATTTGTTGTTAAAATTAGTAAAAGTGCCCATAAAGATGTTAAGACATAAATTTTAACTTTTATAATACTATCAACAGCACAATACAAAATTATAAAATATAAATTATAATATAAAATAATAGTTTTTAGGTTTCTTGTGATACTGCCGCAATTACATCTGATTGTGAGTTTTAAAATTATTATCAAAACACCAATGAAAGTTTTGTGAAAATTTTGTGACTAATTTGTGTTCTACAATTGAATATTAACTTGACGGTGCGATTTTGTAGAACCGCAATTGAATGCTATATTTCAATTTAATTTGATAAGACTGGAAAGATGCAAAAGACTCTTAATTCTTAATTACCAACAAACATGTTGGGAAGATGAACACGCATATAAATATTCACGATACTGGCGGCATCTATAACACGGATGCCAGACTTACTCACACCCTCAAATGCAGGCCAATACGCGTGAAAATTGCTTATTTACATTAATTTTCAGTGGTTTAAACCATGCGTTGAATTATTTTAATAAATCACAATATGTTATAGTAAATTTAACGCGTTTTTTAATTGCATAGAAGCACCCATAAATAAAATTTAATATAATGAACGGTAGTAAATGCGGAAAGTAAAATAAAATAAATTAAAAAAAAACAATTAATTATTAATTCAGCAGTCGTAAATTGGTGTTTTCATTAAACTCACTCATTAACCCGCAAAGAAACACCTAACGCAAGCAAACTTGTAATACAAACTGAGAAGTCACCTGGTATGGAATCTTAGCAGTTTATATTGGCTCGTGCTATCGATATTATCTTATCTTCACCTTTCTTCTGATTTTGGGAGCCTCGAAGCAACTTGATCTGAAATATACAATTCCACTACATAGATATAACCAGCGGCCATTTTATGTTTTTTTTACAGGTAATTATAAAATGGCCACAATCCCACAACCGAATAAAACAAAGCACATTCGACTACATACTATTACTATTATTAATAAGTAATAATAAAAAGCACGTCAACAAAATTCAATCACAAATTTACGACTAAATACAAACAAAAAGAACGAAAAATAATAGTTTATCCAAATAAACTAAGTTTGTACAAGCTACGAACAGTCGCCTTCCGCACGCATCGCAAGCGTAACCAAAATGAAAAGAAACGCCACAACACTTTATATATAAAAAAAATCGTTACTAGCTACAACTTACTTCGCTACAGCCCAAAAACAAAACTAGTGAATACGTGTGATGAAAACGGCGCCGATGCGCAACATTTAAAAGAAACACTCATTTATTAGTGCTCATTATTTGATTGGTTTGCAAGTTCTAAATGTCAAAAGTTAGTTCACATTCAACATTGCCTAAAGATCTTATCAAATTCATGGTTACTGGTGCCTGCGCGTCAAGTTCGGGGGTTCCTTGCCATTTATTACTTATTTTTCTCGCTCTGCTTCACATGGGGTACACATTTTGCTTAAGTCTAGTGAGACCTTTTGAGGAAACCGTGTGGTCGAGGGAGACTAATCCGGCGACCACCAGAGCACCAGTGTGTCCGGCAATCGCCCGCCGAAAAATGCTGTGTGTGAGTCGTCGTTGTCGTTTTTACACTCGAAATTTGCTTTTGCTTGTACAATCAACACGCGCCGAAGATAAGATTTGTTACTCTTTTTTCTCAATTGTTTAATGTTTAACATTAATGAACTTATCGATTAATTAATGTTAATTGTAATATTTTATCCGTGATCGTTTTCATCGTCGAGTTGCGGAGACTCGGCATCCTCTTCTTGCGTCTCCATCGTTACAATAAATTTGCATCTTCTGTTTACATGCAGAAAGAGAAGAAATGTTTCTTTTGTTTGTTTGTTTGTTTATCTGGTATTAGTTTCTGTTTACGGCGTACCGGATGTTTTGTGTGTGAGGTGAACGAAACGCACGGAACGCATTAATATCTAATTAAATGTTGGCATTATTTACACACAATCTTGTAATAGGTTTAATAGTTAATTACATTATCAAAATACTAATAATGTATGCATATATTGATTCGTGTTCAAATGTGTCTCGCGCCGCGCGTCACGCCGAGGCCTAGTTTTCATCTTCTTTGTAACAATATTCAAACTAAAAACGCATGATATATATATATAGTCCGTCTTCTAGATCTAGCAAGATTTAAAAACCGGCCGCGAATTAATCCGAAAACAAGATTACTGATGATACATTTACAAGTGTTCATGCGTGCGCGCGTGCATAGTGTGTCTGTGTGTGTAGTTAAAAATGTCGAATGAAAAAATAAACTCTGCACTCGCCGGTGAAATAAAAACGTAATGTGTATGTGTTCGATGATGAGAAAACAAAAAATGATGAGTTAATAATAATCCTATTTATAATAATAGTATTCAACAATCGCCGCTATTTCTTTTTTTATGAACATGAACATTTCATAGTAATTTGTTTGTTTGTACCAATTCATATTTTCATGCGCGTTCAATTTTTTTCTCGTTTTAGTTTTACAGTACGCCGCGCGGCGTACACTCCACGTTTAAGATTCGATACGATCAAGATTCGATCACTTGTGCTTTGCTTTCGCGGTGAAAACAATAGTCGTACAATATGACAGTTGGTTGAAAAGAGTAGTTTTCCAAACCGCGCTGCGTTCAAAAATGTCTGTTGCAATATTAGTATATTGGTGGCCGTGATGAGAGAACGTGATAAAGAGCTGTGGTTGCGGGTTGCGTATGTTGTTGTTGTTTATATGCTGCGGTTGTTTGTCGCCTGCGCCGTGGTCGTCGAATGGATGTTGGCTGTTGATGTTGCTGCTTTGTTGTGTGAATTAGCGCCGCTCCGGCTACAGGAGGCGCGGTATTTAACCGAGCGATGGGAAGGCGCGCTCGTCGTCGACCTTGGGAGCGTTGCGTGCGTGATAAACGCTCTCCTCACGACCGCCACCCATTTCTCTCTAAAATACCATACATATTTATTAATATATTGTTTAGTTTATTTATGAATGTAAATTATTTACCGATGGAGCATCTTCGTTGCGATAACGACCACCTTTGTCACCGCCAGTACCACGTGGTTCACGAGGACGTCCTCCACGTCCAGCGCCGCGGGTACCACGCCCGCGTCCACCAGTGCCTCGTCTGTTCGAGTCGTTGAAGTGGAAGTCAATGCCAATCACATGCTTCTGGCGGCCGACGCGTTGCGGATACTCAGCATTATCGTATTCATCATCTTCGGAGTCCTAGATAAACACAAAATTCAGGATTAATATTTAATTAATCAAATATTATAGTTTGGTGTCGTACCTCTTCCTCGCCAGCCTTCTTCTTACTCAGCTCGTACATTTTCTTCCATTGTGTCTGATCCTCGCCTTCGCCCGCCTTGCGTAGATTGTATTGTGGCTTCTGGCGTCCAGCGCGTTGAGCCTTCCATTCGTCGAGGGTCAGTTCCTTGGGTTCCTCTTCTACGGGCGTGGGCTCGGCTTCAGTTTCTCCTTCCCTGTAAATCCACATTATATTATTTATCGTTCTGAAATTTAGTTTATGCAGAACATACTTAGATTCAACAGTAGTGTTAGCAGCATCGGTCTTTTCGCCTTCGTTCCAGACAGCTTCAACATCATTGGTAGTCTTGCTTGGGTCTGCCTCTCTGAAATTTATAATCAAAAAATCCACATGAGAAATGATGGTGAATATTTTGGGAGATGTAACTTACTCGATGACGTCCTTGTGAGATCCCCAGTTATGAGCGCCAGCACCGTCCCTTTTGTCAACTGGTTTCACTCCTCTGTAACCATGCCTGTTTTCAGTACACCGCGACAAGGCAAAATCACCCAAAAGATCCAATTAGTTCCCACAATATAGCTGACATACAATAGGAGACAATTTCTAATCTAAGTTATGAAAATGCGCGCGATTGCACGAATTCGAAATTCCACCAGACAGCAGTTTTTGTGCATAATGTGATATAATTGTGAACCCATGACTCATGCAACCTGATACTTGTTTGCATGTCAAGCAACATGTTTTGCTGGATGCGCGAAAATGATATGATATAATCGTAAACAAAACACTCAGACAACATTTAAACGAAAGAAGAAACAAAACAGAGAAAAACATGGGAAATAAAGAAGGCAATATTGAAATTAAAGCAGATTGAAATAATAAAATGCACACGTACGTCTTGTCGGATCCACTCTGCCTGTCGAATTCACGTTTGCCTCTTCGGTCATCAAATTGGCGACGTGGGCCAGCCCCACGTGCACCTCGGTTGCCAATACCGCCACGGCCTCGTCGGCTCTCGAAATCACCTCCGGCATTGTCGCGTCTCGGTCTGTCTTCACGGTCCCTAAAATTACAACACAATAAATAAAATATTATGTTTTTGTTTGATAAAACTTTAACTTACTTGTTGTTATCAAATGAATTGCCATTGAAAGGCCTTTCTTCACGATTGCGTCGATTGTTCCTCTCTTCGCGATTCTCACTGTTGAACTTCGTGAACGGCCTGTCCGTCTTGTTCTCAGCGCGTGGTCCAGTGGGCTTGCCGTCTAGGAATTATAAAAAATCCAATTAGTAAACTCAAAAGTGGAATCCAATAGGCAGGTGGCGAGCACATGTTCGCCAATGAGAGCGATGATGGCGGCCATGCAAAGATGCGCGGCGCCCAAAAGCACCGGCTATTTTTAACCCGCAAGTGGATGGCATGCCAAACCAACGCGACGCCCGCGCATATAACCCAACCGAAAATCTCCACCTGGTGCACCACTCACCGAATAAATAAGATACACGCGCGAATTTAGCGCGTGCGACGCGGTGGAGAATGGCGTATATGCGTGCGAATTCAACCGGGAGCGCGCGCTAATCGATTTCAATGCTCACCTTCGCGTTTGCCTTCAGTTGGCTTCGGCGGCGTCTCCTTGGCGGGCTTGCGTGCCGGCTGCGTCGGCTGCTTATTCTTCGCCGGCGCCTCTGGCTTGCCTTTGTTTTCCTTCTCGGCTACCTTGCTCTTGCTCTTCTTCGAATCCTTGTCGGGGACGATGATCGCCGTCTCCGACGGATCCGACTCGTTTTCGATCAAAAGCGAGAAGCGGTTGGTCGTACCGATACCGTAGGAATTCTCCATGATTGACGATCACGGTGTGGATCTCCGCAACTCGACGATGTTGGAAGATTTATTTCGCGGCTACTCGTTAGCCCGATGTTTTCACGCACTCATTCAAAGCAATATGGCCGGCGTCGAGCGGATTCTCGCAACACGAGGTGCGAATCGACACGAGCACTCACTTCGGTCATAATCGAGTTTACAAACTACGCAGGCGTACCGCAAATAAACATTTCTGGTTTAAAAATTGATAAATCAAGAAAATCACATAATAAATAACATTATTTATTAACAATATAACGTACAGTGACATAAAATCATTACAAATAATACCATTAAAACATATATTTCTAATTTTTAATCTTCATGACTTGCAATAGTAGCGCACTCTATGACGTATTAAGTGTAACACGCACTTTTCATCTAAGAATCTCCTATTTCCGTGTTCAAAGGCAGCAGGAATTCGCAGGATTTCAGTACACAAACAAAGTCATGGACCTAACCAACAATTACAATTACAAAATGTAATAAATGTAAACGTAGCGTAATGTTGATCTTGCTACCATAACTAAATAAAACAAATGACAACCAGCAGAATGGCAAATAGTGCGCCGGAAATTATCATTTGGTAAGTTAGAAACAAAACTAACTCAAAAATTCAATAACATATGTCTAGAATAAACCACAAATTTGTTTTTAATTGTTAGTTTCATTGTCCTGCTGACAACTGGCATTTTTATCTTAATCAACAAGTCAATATCAACTAGTAATATTGAAGCAGAAGTTGGCCCCGATTACAAATGGATCATCCATGGCCTAACAAACACTCTGGGATACATGACTGTCCTGGTGCCAGGCATATTTGTACACAAATACATCAGAAAGATAAATTATTTAGACAAAAACAGTGAGTATGAACATATTTTTCATTGAATTCATACAGAAAACTTACAAAAAACTTTTCAGACTCTGGATGTTTATACAGAATCATTCAGAAATGTTATGCTGAAGACGAACTTATTGAAAAATCGCCTGTGGCCACCTCAGCAGCCGGTCAGAGATCAACATGTCCATCATGGGTGAATTTATTGATAAATTTCACGATGCTTCAAATATCATTCGTGTCCTGGGCGTTCCTGCAAGAAAAAGTGATGACACAAGAGTATAAAAACGACGCCGGCGAGATCGGCCATTTTAAAGACTCGCAGTTCTTGGTGTTTGTTAATCGCACGCTGGCGTTGGCGACTTCCGGTTTGGTAATACTCTGCTGGCGGCAACCACGTGTCAGATGCCCGATGTACAAATACGCATTCTGCTCGCTATCGAATATTTTAAGTTCTTGGTGCCAGTATGAAGCATTGATGTATGTTTCTTTTCCACATCAGGTAAAACATCAAAATTTAATAAAATAAGGGTGGTTTTATAACAAAATTTCATCATTTTTAGGTGTTAGCCAAAGCTGCGAAGACTATTCCCGTCATGATAATGGGAAAAGTTATATCACGGACAAAATATGAGTATTATGAGTATGTAACCGCATGCATACTCTCTGTGGGAATGCTTTTCTTCCTGCTGGACATGGGTAATGGTAAAGGATCAACTGTGACGACATTCTCCGGCGCCATTTTGTTATTCGCATACATAGGCTTCGACAGTTTCACGTCCAACTGGCAGGGAGCGCTCTTCAGATCGTATTCGATGTCGCCCGTGCAGATGATGTTCGCAGTCAATCTGTTTTCGTGCATGTTCACTGCTGTTTCTCTCACACAGCAAGGAAATTTCATGACATCGATGGGATTCATCGTGCAATTTCCGACATTCCTCGTCGACTGCGTTATGTTGTCGATTTGTTCGGCTGTTGGCCAGTTATTCATTTACAAAACCGTAGCAGAATTCGGTCCGCTCGTATTTGCCATTATTTCTACGATTAGACAAGGCGTGTCGCTGTTCTTATCATGTGTGTTTTACAATCACGACGTGCACGGCCTCGGCGTGCTCGGCATTTTCTTGGTGTTCTTCAGCGTCTTGCTACGCATTTATTGCGGACATCGGATTAAATCCAGACGTACAAATGTGTAATTTATGTAATCAGTGAGATATTTATTGTTTAGTGGAATTTTTCAAAATGGCGGCTGTTGATTAAATAAATTCGCGTCATTTTTCACCTGTATACCAATGAAAACATTCGGGATATTCACAGCAAACGCGCTAGTGTTGTTTCAAAATGGCGTCGCGTTTGTTTCTCAACACCCATGATTTTTATTATACAGTTACAGGGCACTTTAAAAGCATAGCATTTCTAATGAATTACTCCCAGTCAGTCCGAGGCTGCTTAAGTCCGGTTTGAACATCAAACCGGCGGAACTGTCCTGCTGCTATCTACCTATCCTGCCCGCGTCCACCTGATAACAATACACCTCGAGTGTCTACAACAATACTGATCATCATGGCGGCTCCCGGGGCAAAACTAAACGCTTGCGCACTTACGACAAATTATTATAAAGTGTATGTTTAATTTAATCATATAAATCAAGTCGAGTTCGTTCTTGAAACTGTTGAAGCGGTTTGACGTGCGTTCGGCCGTCGAATCAAAAGACACACCCGCTAAAAATAAGCGAAAATCAAACACAATATACTCGCTAATATTTACACATAGGTTAAAAATTAAACGTTTAGGTTATTAGAGGTTAGGTTACATGAGTGGGCAACGAACGCACGTCTGTCTTTTCTTGTTGTGTGGCATATAATTAACGTGTTGTGCGCGTTGTGTGTTAAGATGTGACGTGTGGTGCAAAAATAAGCATAAAGTTAACTTAATCGATAGTCCAGCTTCGAGAAGAACCGGTGTCGGCATCATTCTGGTTCAATAAATAAAATAAGCTATCACAAGACAGAGCAGAAGTGGAGACAGACCTCGTCGTCGTGATCTCTCTCGCATCTCATCGTGTAAAAAATAAAGATATGTTTGTTTCATCATTTAAAATCAATATCGTCTCCTTGCGTTGATCCTTAATTTAAGGTAAAAGCGCGCGTTCTGCGTCCACTCCTGGTTTTACAATTCTCTGCTACTTACAACTAAGTGAGGATTATTGTTTTTGTTTTGTTTGTTATTGATTTGTAGTGTTATGTCGTCGGTGGTGAATTATCGTCACGCGTTTGTTTCAGTTGCGTCGTGTGATTAATAAATAATTGAGCATTTTCGCAGCGTGGCTCACTGCCGGTAGGCCGGGATGTTGACGCCGTTGCCGGGCGCCATGTAGTCGCCGATCATCAAGTTAGCCGCCACTGGATAGTTGGTCATCACCAAAGGTTGCTAGAAGTTGAAATAAAGTCTTTTCAATTAATGTATTCTTATTAATATTAAAAATGCGTATCTAGTTTTGTTTATTACTACTTTTAAGTGGTAATTACTAAACTAATCAACATAACATTTTGTACACAGATGAAGAGTATTGCGAAGCATATAGGATAATTTTTATTTGAAAAATTGAAATATTTTTGTCGAAAATCAAGTTTTGGTCAATTTACCGCCAGGTGGCGTTAAGATTCAACGCCATCTGATGGATAATTCGTAGGCAAAACTCTAGTATTATTATAAATACATTGTTTCTATACTTACTTGTTGAACTGTAGGAGTTGTGAAGAGCGATGGAGACATGGCGCCTCCAATAAGTTGAGCAGTCGGTGTAGACGTGGGGCTGGCAGCCACACGTCCTCGGCCAGTACTCGAAATGCATCCTGGATGGATGCTAGGCTGCGGCACTTCGTGCAATTGCGTCGGATCTAAACAAATCAAACATAACCTTCAATTTCACCTCCTCCAAAATAAATTTAGGCAACTTACCGAGCGCAATCAATGTATTACTAATAACAGTCTGAGTGGTGTCCATCGAAACTTCACCAAGGCCATTGACAGACATTCCATTCACCATATTCACAGCTAAAAACAAACAAAACATTTAAAATTTAAATAATCAACAAATTTTTGTACTTTAATACTTACCATTTCGTACTCCTTGCGCATCCAACTGATTCCAATAGTTTTCGCTTGGCGAAATATTAGACACACCCGGTGGGGGCTGAACAGGCGCTCCAGTGTACCGGAAATACGGATTTTTTAGGTCCAAAGTATTGGACGAGCGTTGCGTTGTGCCTTCCAGCTGTAATTCGATTGTAACATCATAACTCTGACGCTTGTTGGCAATTAAATGAACGCGTCCGGTTAAAATCTGCCCTTGTTTCACCAAAATCGGTTCCTCAAGCAGACAACGCACTTGATACCAATGAGTTAGTGGTTCAGTCGGGGCTGTACTCAACCACACAGTGGAATCTGTACCGATGAAAGCCACATCGAACCAAAATGCAAGACCATGGCAGGTACCCGACTCTAATAAGTGAAATTCTACTGGAATATCTACAAAAAATAACATTTTAATAAAATAATTTGAAATTTTTAAATATTACACTTACCAATCGAATGTAGATCGGTTTCCGAAGCGTCAAGAAAGTCAACAACATGGCGGACGGACTTGCTGAGACAAATACGCGCATCGAACGTATCAACAATCGGCTGGCGGAAGTACTCCTTGATGGCGCAGTTCTGAATCGCCGACAGATTCACGCCGTGGAAGCACGTCTGGAACCAGAAGTTCGCCTTACCGAACTGCTCCATGTAGAGAGCGTCGTCGGTGAACGGAGCGATGTGCAAATCGCCCCTGGACGGGAACATCTTGCCGCCTGGACGCGCCAACCACTTCTTCGCGTGCAGGTACGTCTCAAGCATACGCTCGTTGTACAACATATAGCCCATCGGCTCCGAGACAATAATATCCACCTTCTCAGGGATTTCAATCTCCTCGATCTTACCGGCGATTACTTTGATCACATCGTGTAGGTTGTTGGCGTTGACCAACTTCTGCGCAAAGTGCGCCATTGTGGATGCTTCGACTGCATACACACGCTTTGCACCGGCTTGCGCGGCGAAGAAGGATAAAATGCCTGAACCCGCGCCGACATCTAACACTATTTTGTCCTAAAACATCATAAAAATAAGCAAATATTTATTTTTTTAATAAAAACTTGAAACTTACTTTAAAATCGGCAAGATTACATAAAATAGCCCGCTGGTAAGTGGAAGTCCGCACGAAATCCTGCAGCATGTTCTGCTGCTGTGAGAGGTAGCCGTAGAATTGGAAATATTGCATCGCCGACGAGTCCTCAGTTCGGATGGAGAACACGGAGGTGTTTTTACCGCTCTTTACCTTCGTTATCGCTATGTGAAACAATCGCCCATCTATAAAATAACAAAATGCATGTCAGTTTTTGCTTGAATGACTTCCAAAGGGGGAATTTTCACCCCTCAAGATTGCATTTAATGAAAGCCCCATTGAAATTCACCCTTGGGAATACTTTTAATTCAATTTAAAGAATATGATTTAATTTATGCCACCAAAGATACAATTGTTGCTTACCATCTTCATTTAGGAATTTAAAAAATAAGGATTCATCTTCAATGTGGAATATGTAGCTTTTTGAGGAGACCCTACAACACTCTGTGGAGGCATGTACGGGAAACTCCAGAAGAATTGTGTCTTCATGTTCTGCAAAATACAAAAAAGAGTTGAATTAAAAAAAAAAGAGTTTAATGACTAATGGGAAATTTCCATTGACTGAAGGGTAAATAAAGTATGCATTACTGTTATTTTTACGAATATAAATCGTAAAATCTACAAGAATGTTATTTTTTAAATCAAAATAAATAAATGTTGCCATGGAAACAATAAACTCTCTTAATAAATGTTAATTGAGCGCAATTTAAGAATGCAAGAGTAATAATAACGCGCATTTGTATTGTATTCGCGTCTATTGTGAGGGTAATTAATGGCATCCCGCCATTCCGTTGCAAAATGCCGAAAACGTCGTCGAAATTTATTTCATTAATTCAATTGATGTGAGCGCGTGCCGTGCTTAACCCCCAAGATTTAATCTTTGCGAATTAATGACCATGACTTCTACTCACCATGGAAAAGTTTAAGGCTGAGTCCTTGAGGATCGTAGTCGAGTTTAGCGCGCGCCGTCGACCGCGCGAACTTCTTGCGATGCGTGCCGTCTTCGCCGACGAGGAACACGTCCACTACGAAGCAGCCCGCCGCCGCCATCGCCATATTCGCGCCGCCGGTTTGCATGTTGACAACCACTCGTTCGTCGCGGTCTTGCTGCATCACGCCGCACTCTCGCACGGACACTCCAGAGCGCGCGCTGCTGCCGCCGCCGGTGGTGTTGGTGGTGGTGGTTGATGAGCTGCTCGCTGTTCCTTCGCGACGCTGCTCGCGCCGGCTTCACGTTACAAATGGTCGCTTGGCCGCTCGAGGCGCCGGAGGTCGCTGCGATGCGTCTTGCGCGCCGCGGTCTTCATCCAGAGGGCGCCACCTTGCGAGAATTCTTCTTGACTTTATTTGACGATTTTCTTAGTTAAAACGTTTAAAAATTTAAATATAAACATTGAAACGTCTTTATAATGATATTTACTATTAAACTAATATACATTTAATGCGAGTTGATGTAATTTTAGTTCATAAATCATAAGAACAAAATTTGTTATTTGAATATGACTAGACGGTTATTTGTAAAACTAAAAAGTCCGGTACTTGACAGTGCTTCGGATCTACTCGGCGAAAAGTGAATGTCATTCGATTTGATTTTAGTTTTTCGCGGAAACTAACAAACCAGGTGAAATAATTGATAACATGCGTAAATAATATTCTAATTTAGTTTATTTGTTGGTATTTAATAGGTGTTTGCGTGTTAAATCGCTTTGATAGCATTAACAATTTTCGTAAAGACTCGGTTTAACTCTTTCTCGGTTTGACAAGATGGCGACACAAATCTGACCCAACACCTTTAAATTTTAACATAAAAACGCCAAAACACGTTTTCAGCCTGTTGCTATTATTATAAAAGATAAGGTATATTGAATTTATCAATTTAATTCAACAATTCATGTTATAGGTGTTCCAAAAAGTTTAAATGTGACTTATGCAGCATTAGTTCCTGGCAGTTGTTGATTCAGCAGGTGGCGCCCATCGCCTAGCGTCCGCCTTGGTTTTCGTTTATTCCGCGATAGCGATAGCGATTGTTTGGTCCCGAACGTGCAAATTGCTGTGCGAATCAATCGAACACAAAGCCATGCACAAAAAAGCGTGAGAGGCGTCCGCGGGCCGCGCGTATCTCTTATCACTGCGAGCGTCACGGCGAGTGGCGAGCCGAACGGTGGGAGGCGCATCTCGCATCGAATCATCGGTTGAATCGGCGCTTAACGTGCAACAGTGACACGCAGCGAGCGCGGCGAGTAGCGCGTAGCGACCGACGAGAAACCGAGTTGTAGTAAACGCACCGCGACCGCACCTATCCCGACGACCGACCGCCTGCCGAATGCGGGGGCCGTGTGTAGTTTAGTGAATCTCGACGCAAATATTATGGATAAATAGCGAATCAACATTATCAGCGTATGTCTAATCAGCGGTAAGCGCCATCCAAATTTATCTAGCGTCTGCGGTAAGCGCCGAACTACACTTATCGAGCGAGTGTGTGTTGTGTGATGGCTATTTCCGAAGAGCGTGAATTTAGGGCATTCGCAGCGCCTGGCTTTTTATTATAAGCAACACATTCAACTGTTTATCATCGTTACAAACGAACAAGACGTTCATTGTTGTCGGTTCGATTGATCAAACAAATGGCACTTGCATTCATCTAACTTCACAGCAAACAAAAAAGGAGTAAAATAACGCATGTGCGCTGTTGATTAGTCATGTTTCAGCATTAATAAACGCCACACCTTGTTGTTACCAGCAACAAATTTACATTATTACTACATATCTATTGATATTTTCTGTTGAATTTTTCTTCCAAAACTCGCGTTGACCTAACTGGGTGACAGTGTGACTGTGACGTCAACACTTTTAGTACAAAATCGACCTAACGATGATGTCATGAGTTATTTATATTTGATTACTAAGAATATCTCAGTTTGTTGCTCATCGCCGATCGGAAGCGCAACCGCACGCTTACTAATGTAGATGATTAGTTGATTTTTGTGCAGCTTGCAGCTGGGACAAAGCGCAATATGGCGGTGGTGATAGCGAGCTCGCACCTGGTTTATAACACACTAGGAAAACAAAAGACAAGCGGGCCCTCGGAAGCAAACAAATTGTAATGCTAACGAAGACAAGCGTTGGTTACGGACATTTTGTAACTGTTATTTTTCATGTACTGCACGCATTACACATGGTTTCGAGAGGTGTTGAGCTTGGGAAAGTCTTGAAATTGTCAAGCACACATTAACATTAGATAATGTCATCAGTGAAGAGTATTTTAAAATTATCTAAAATTTAGTTTTATTTCATATTTTTGGTCTGCTGTCTGTATTTCTTATTTTATTGAGCTATTTATACACTTTCTTGCTTTAATTTATTGATTTCTGTCAAATTTCTTCAGGTTATATTAAATAGTTTTATTTCCTATTTTTCACAATTTCTGCAAAATTTTTGATAATTTTTTTGGTTAGTTTTGCTAAATATTGACAGTTTACGCTTTATTTTTGACAGAAACCAGTCAATTTTTATAAGTTTAGTTAGGTTTAATCAGTTTCTTGTAAAAATCTCAACTTTTGATGATTTTATTCTTGATTTTTAACGGAATTATATAATTTTTACCGCTTTTCGACAATTTTAACAGATGAAACAAAATTTTACAACATTATAATTGCATATTTTATTTGATGGTCACTGAACCATGCGCGGTGACAATACAAACACGTCCTTATTACGCGTGCTGCGAGCGCACTAAAAATATGATACTCTCGGCGGTTCGGTGGCTCCGTTGCCGTTTATTTTCGTAATGACCGAGAGCGCAAATGGAGCAATTGTTGATGAGCTGCGCAAGTTGACCACCTACTCATCTCCGACTCCGCCGACCGCCGCGACAATCTAAGCATCTAAGCATTAAAAATTCTCGGCGTGTCACCGCTACTCACGACATCTTTAAATTTTTCCATCTTTTTTTTATATTATGAGACACAAAGTGACTCAAAAAGTGTTGAACCTGCTGCATACACGTCTACTCTATTAAATAAATAGAAACCCAGACAGGAAATTCAACAATCAAAATCAACATTCTTATCAATGTCAATATTTATTGTGATTTTTTTCGCGAACGAGAACATTGACTTCAATTGTAAACACTCGGTAAATAGAAATAAAAATACCCGTGGAGTGGTATCAATGAATGTCGTCGTTCATGTACAAGTTGCGCATTCAGCTAATTAAAAACGACTACAACTCGCAACTTGCACGCAAAGATCAGATTTATTCACTCGTGACATAATAGCAATGGCGCGAATAACAGTCCATCAAATATTGATCAATAAACTGCAATTATTCACATTACATCAAGCGTTTACACATGGTCTAATTTGGTTGATTGTGCAATGTGTGAGAACCGCGCGCGCAATATTCGCCTATATCTGTTTGTTTGCGTAGCGTTTTTCATGATTTCTCGGTCAGTTTTTGTTTAGTATTTAATTATAATTATGTAAACACTGCCGATTACAACCTACACGATATTTTTGGCGGGTGATTAATGGCCGAATCGCGTTTTTATCACTTTATAACGCATTATCAATGTGCAATTTGTAATTATTATTTTTAATGCGTTTTTTCTTATTTAATTTATTGATTACTGTGAAATTTCATCAGGTTATTTAGGAAATTTAGCGAACATCTTCTATTTTCTCATTTTTGACACATTTATTGTTAATTTTGATCAATTTTGACAGTTTCCGCTTTATTTTTGACAGCAAGTTGTCAATTTTAATTTCTACTGTCATTTTGGTTCATGTTTGGTTAGGTTTACACACTGTACCAGTCAAAACGAGAGTTTTGTTGCTTTTTTCTTTAAGAATAATTTTTAATTAATAATAATTATGTAAACATTGCCCATTACAACCCACACTTCAATTTTCTGCAAATGATTAATGTCTTGATCGCGTTTTATCACTTAATATCGCATTATCTCCATGCAAATTGTAATTATTTTGTTTTTTTACAGTTGCACGATGACTTTTACAAGAATATTAGCTGTGCTAGTCCTTGGGGCACTCATAGATGCACGAGAAAGTAAGTTTTTCACAATCCATTGCTATTCTTAGATGCTTTTGGCATGATTTTGCATTTTTTCATTTGCAAATAATAAATAATCTATTTTTATCAGTACCTTCACCGCCGAGAATAATCAAACAGCCGCCCACCGACGAAGTGCTCTTCCAGGTCGGCGTGGACGAGAACGACAAACCGTTTTACATCGAATGCGAGGCGGTCGGCGAGCCGGCGCCGAAGTACAGATGGATTAAAAACGGCAAACACTTCGACTGGCAAACGTACGACGACCGTATCTCACAGCAACCCGGTCGTGGCACTCTATCAATCGCCAAGCCGAAGGATGAAGATCTCGGCCAGTATCAATGTTTCGCCGAGAACGAATATGGCGTCGCCACTTCCAATTCAGTCTTCATGCGTAAAGCCGAGCTCAATTCATTCAAGGCACAACCACCGCTATCACTCACCGGGCAGGAGGGTGAACCTTATAAGCTCAGCTGTCAACCGCCGGATGGCTGGCCTAAGCCGAAAGTATACTGGGTGAAATTATTGAATTCTGACGCGTTCAAAGCCATAAACAACTCCAGAATGACACTGGATCCAGAGGGTAATCTCTGGTTTTCGAATCTGACGAAACAAGACGCCACTGATGGTTTCATGTACGCATGCGCAGCTGCATCATCCACTAAACTAGAGTACAAGTTAGGTAATCGTGTGTTACTTAAAGTTATCACTACCGGAGTGTCTGCAGCGCAAAATAAACACGAACCGGTTAAGCAATACGTCACCAGGAAGAATGAAGTTGCTTTAAGGGGTAAAAAGGTTGAGTTGTATTGTATTTACGGTGGTACGCCATTACCGCAAACAGTCTGGACTAAAGATGGTCGACAGATCTTATCAACTGAACGTGTGCAGCAGAATAACTACGGTAAATCACTGGTGATAAACCTGGTGGATTTCGATGATGAAGGCGCGTATACTTGTGAAGTATCCAATGGTGTCGGTGAATCTCAAACGCATTCAATCAATCTGCAAGTGCTGGCTGTGCCGTACTTCACCGAGGAGCCGGAAATCATCAACGCCGCCGAAGATGAATCGGTGGAATTCCGTTGCGATGCCACCGGCGTCCCCAAGCCGCAAATTAAATGGATTCACAATGGCAAGCCCATTGCGGAAGCCCCGCCCAATCCGCGACGCAAAGTTGGTCCTAATACGATCAGTATTGAGAGATTAGTGAAACGCGATACTGGTAATTACGGCTGCAACGCCACCAATTCCCTTGGGTATGTCTACAAGGATGTCTACGTGAATGTGCTGGCCCTAGCGCCGGAAATCACCGAAGCGCCGCATGATCAGGAGGCGGTCGATGGCAGAGGTATTAATATGACTTGCAAAGTGTTCGGCGCGCCTAAACCGGAAGTCAAGTGGGTGCACAACGGCAAGGAACTCACCGGCGGACGATTCAAAGTGCTGGAAAATGGCGATTTGAATATTGATACGATACAATTTGACGATTCCGGAGAGTATACTTGTTATGCGGAGAATAAATTCGGACGCGCGAATGCATCCTGTTCGTTTAACGTAAAATCACATACGTTTATCAGTGACGGACCTGAGGATTATGAAGTATCAGCTGGTACACAGGCGACATTCAGGTGTAACGCCGTTGCGGATCCTTCCTTACCTTTAGAAATCATCTGGATGAATAATGGTGAACCGATTGACTTTGAAGGTGAACCACGATTCGTAAAATCCTCGGATTATTCTTTGACAATCACGAAAACAATTGAATTGGATTCGGGTACCTATACCTGCTTAGCTCGTACACCTTTAGATGAAGCATCAGCTAGAGCAACCCTAACTGTCCAGGATGTACCTAATGCTCCTAGAATGGAGAGCATCAGGTGTAATAACAAAGATGCTGTTGTCAGGTGGTTCCCACAGGGTGATAACCGTGCTCCTATCTCACATTATACTCTACAGTACAACACTTCATTCACTCCGGATGTGTGGGAGACTGCCTACGATCACATACCAGCTGTTGATATGACCTACAGCGCACCTATGAGCCCATGGGCTAACTATACCTTCAGAGTTTTAGCACATAATAAAATCGGACCTTCTTTACCCTCGTCACATTCAGATGTTTGTAGTACACAACCGCAGGTACCACATAAAAACCCCGATCGTGTTGAAGGTGAAGGTGACCGCCCTGATAACCTGGTCATCCGGTGGACACCAATGCCTGAGATTGAACACAACGCGCCGAAATTCCAGTATAAAATCTTCTGGAAGCGGGATATACCCGGTGCGGAGTATAATGTGCACGATATCTTAAACTGGCGACAAGATAATCTTGTTATTTATGATCAACCATCATTCCAACAGTATCGTATCAAGGTTGTCGCTATGAATGAACTTGGTGAAGCTGACGTTGCCCCACAGGAAGTCATTGGCTATTCGGGAGAAAACGAACCTACCCAGGCCCCGTATAATTTCACACTTGTACAAATTCAATCGCCTACCAAAGCTTTGCTTAGCTGGAACCCAGTGAGTTTGGATTCTGTCCGCGGGCATTTCAAAGGTTACAAAATCAAGACCTGGACGGATAAGAAGCCTGGGCATAAAGAGATACAAGTACAAGGCGAAGCTACCAAGGCGCTGGTGACGAATTTTACTCCGTTTGCGAAGAATTACGCGCAGGTTTATGTTTACAACGGCAAATACAATGGACCACCAAGTGAGACGCTTTCGTTCGATGCGCCGGAAGGAGCCCCGGGACCAATCTCATTCTTGGAGGCTTATCAAATGGGTTCTTCTGCATTCCTACTCACTTGGAAGAAACCTGACCAGCCGAACGGCATCCTCACCGGGTACAAAATCTTCTATTCTGTTGTCAATGGAACTTCGGTGTTCCCCGAGATTGCTAGAGATCCGCAGATTTTGAATCCCATACAGTTGCGGGCGAAATTATCTGGGTTACAACCGGGGGTTAAGTATAGGTTGTATATTAGTGCGACAACTGCTGCTGGCGATGGTAAAAAGTAAGTTTTTATGAAATTTTTTTGTTTTTGGAAGTTATTTTTATATTTTTATAAATTTTAGGTTCTTTATTGAGCGTGTAACAAGGGGATCTGGTGCAATGCGTCCGAATCAACCGACATTTAGTACTTCACGTGTTCCCAGCGATGGCGGCAATATGGTCACTATTCGTGTCCAATGGTTGCCCGATTTCGAACGGCCCGGTTCTCACTTCTACGTGAAATACCGCAGGAAAGGCGATTCCAACTACCAGACCACTCATGAAGAATACCATGATGATTACACAGATGTAGCGGGCTTGGAACAAGGCGAGACTTATGAAATGTCGGTTGTTGCCGTTGACGGTAACTACCAGGTTGAAAGTTCGCAGCAGGAAATCGACACGTATGGCGGCGAAGGACCGATTATTCAACCACGCGAAAATGTAGCAACTGCCGGCTGGTTTATTGGCATGATGCTTGCCATTGCCTTCCTCTTACTGGTGTTGATCTTGGTGTGCATTGTGAAACGCAATCGTGGTGGTAAATATGCTGTGCACGAGAGGGAGCAAGCGAATGGCCGACACGATTATCCGGATGAAGGTGGTTTCCATGAGTATTCACAACCGTTGGACGCGAAATCAACTGCGAGTGAGCCGAAACCAGGGCCGGAAAGCGATACGGATTCGATGGCTGAGTATGGTGAAGGAGACACAGGTAAATAATCATCTCAGCCATTTTGTTTCTTTAGTTATTCATGAGGTTATTATGATTATGTAGTAAATGTGTTTGGTTTTGTGTCGTCTTTTGTTTATTTTGATCGTTTTCGTAGAAGGTATGAATGAGGATGGCTCATTTATCGGACAATACGGGCGTAAGGGCAAACAGGGTGGTGAAACAACGTCCCAGGGATTTGCTACTTTGGTTTAAAAGTAAGATTATGTTTTGTTTTACGGTTTTTTCACCGACGTTTTACTAATCTTTATCTTTTCCTCTTGTATCTTGTGTGTTTGGTGCTTGGGTTTCATACAAACTAAAATAATTCATGATATTTATATCTCTGGGGTTGTTTTCAGGTCGCTTCACAGAGGATGGCTCATTTATCGGACAGTACGTGCCCACGAATATGAGACAGGCGCCTCCGAATGCTGCCACCTACGTTTAAGTATTCAAAAATCCCCCAAAAAACAACGTTCGACACGCGCGAAATGCAAACAAAAACGAACGATCGAACAAAAACCAAACGTGAAACACGCGTACACACATCAAAAACAAAAAAAAAAGCGCGTGCATTTTAGATTTGTATTCGGCTAGAGACGTCTTTCTATCACCTCGAATATCTTCTTGCATCTTGCATCTTACTATTCTGACCACATACAAACACACAACTTATGAGGACATCTATTTGTATTTCGAATGCAGTTAAGTTTACCTAGTTTTCTTTATTTTGTACCACGAAGCTGAGTTTAAATTCGTCCATTTTTTAGATTTACTCGATTATTTGCTAGGTTGTAATATTTAAAGAGTTCATATAGTAACGCGACGCGTTTGTTTGTAAATGATTAAGTGTAAAGTTTAAGAAAAAGGCGCGATGAGATTGCGATGATGAGTATTTCATTTTTATCCATTGATTGTTATTACGTTAGTAGGTGTAATGATTGTGGACCTCTTCTCCTCCGCCGCTGTATTATATTCAAAGTGCAACAAGCATACACACACACACAATACACAGAAACAACACACACGTGCAGACAAATTCGCTAAAGTAACATAAATAAAAGTAAATTTTAAAGAAATCGCGCTTAGTTAGGTAGGCCTGACACTGCCAATATGAGAAATGGGCTTGGGCTTGTTGAATTGATTTGTTGATGACATTTTTTTATGATAGATGAAGATGAATTGTGAAACACACTCACGATGGGAACCGGTGTTGTTGCTTGTTACGAGTTTGCCCTCCCCCCCTTTTTCTGCAATTTTCTGCAATCTTGTCTTCTTTCGGTTTTTCCGTTGTTTCGAGAGTCGCAACCAACCATCATTAAGGATATAATTGATAATGAAATAAATACTATTTATATTTATATATAATATATGATATTATAAATATTAGGTAGGATCGCTTTTGTACATGTAAAGATTATGGGTGTCGCGAGCACGGAGTGTAACGCACTAGATTGTGTTTTAAGAAAACAAAGACAGGCAAAGAGAATGCAACACACAGAAACACACAAAACAAGAAAAAACAAAATTAATGATTCATTGATACTACTCGCCTTTTTGTATGCCGTAATTGCGAAATATGAAACATTTATGTACAACTTAAGTCGACCTGGCGGGATTCTCGCGGGCGTGTGGCGTGCGACGAATCAAAAGTTTATTTAATTATTTGCCGCGCGCGCGTTGGAGTCCCCCCATAACAGACGCCTAGAGCTTTTTATTATTACATACATTGTATTTTTTTTCATTTTTTCGATTCGTTTACTTTACGAAAATACCTACAAAACTAATACTGAAACATATGCAATAACGAAAAGATCTGTAACAATTCTCTTTTTGACGATTTGACAATTTACACTGCTCTCAAGTGTCGTAAATTTATTTTTTTATGGAGCTTTTTTTATTTTGAACAAAATGTCATAATTTTTGCACTTAAAAATAAAAAACAAAACAATTTACTATTAAAAAATGAATGCCACCACAAACGTGCACACTTTTCCACCAACGAACCTAATGTTTACATTGTCTTAGATTTAGAATCACTACCACATTTACCACATTCCGTAAGCAGTAAGTACTAATTGGTGCTAATGTTCAACTGATGACTAATAACAATAAATAGTGTTAACTGGTATCAGAATTGAGTAATCAAAGTCTTGTGTGTCGTCAATTGCGCCGATCATTTTCTCATTAATCATGCAACTTTCATCAATACTAATTTACCCACGTTAAAATTCGTGTTAATGCGTGAAAATTGACGAATGTTCGTTAAAATCTTGCTTCTAAGTATTCAGGCCATTTTGTTTTGACTTGCAATTTGTTTTTGTGTTTATTTAAATTGCTACCACGAGTTTGTAACGTGTAAAACGTTATCAGTGAACAAAACAAGTGCATTCTCATCACGCGATAATAATAATTTGAATTATATTTATGTACGGAGACAAAATGGCGGTCGGCAACAAGTTAAATGGTTGAAATTTGGAATTTTTGTTTTTGAGGGCTTTGAACTGTATTTTTGTACAGACAAGTTTGACCTCAACATTAAAATACACGAAATATTTGCATACTCTTGAATTTCATGCGTGAAACGTTCATAAATTTTGGTAAAATATCAATGGAAAACGACTAAGTTTTTAACGACAGTTTAACTGTTTATAAAACACAAGATACAAAGCAATTTGAAGAAATTTAGTTGAAAAGTGTTTAAATGTTTATTTAAGAAAGATTTATAACTAATATTTTAAATTTTTGATTGTTTTATATTATTTACTACCAATTTTTGTACAAATTTCACTTCAATGTTTGTGTATTTCTGTCTATCTTTCTTTCAAAACTTAATTTTATGTACCATTGTCTAATTGTGAACGAGACATGAATGAAATTATTGAAAACGCTTGACGTACATGTCCCCAAAGTGGCTTTTCAAGTACTCTAAGCCGTTTGCAAACGCAAACCGGTTTGGAAAGTGTCATCGCTGCTTCTACCAAAGTCTATTTTCAAACTCCACACTGAATTTCCGCTGTCTAATGAATAGTCATGCGTACATTGTCTGCCAAACACAATTAACATTTCTAGTTCATTGTCACGATCAAGCATCATGACTCTGATTTTTTTATTATGGTTTTTTATTACTGACACAACCAATAAGCAAGACTCACAAAGTCTTGAAATAAATGCACAAATAGGAATAATGTTGAACCTGTTCAGTGGCGGATTATGCTTCAGTGGGGCCCTAGGCGCAAATAATAATTGAGCCGCTTATTTTGAAAGTGGCCTAACTCCATTTATCTTCAAATCGAGATATTGAAAGTTTTGCGTTTCAATGAATTTAAAAATATACGTATAAGATACAAAGAAGTCATACTGCTTGAGCGTATCTAAGGATGTTAAATTTAAAGTTCCAGTTAAAATAGTGGCAATTATTAAGTAAATAACGTGCGTTTCCTTATCAAGAATGGAGTTGGGCCACTTTCAAAATTAACAGCCAGATTCATTATAAAATTTGAAGATGCCCAAGTCCATTCAACATAATTTAAGATGTTTCAAATTGAAGAAAAAAAACGTCTTCGTTTCACAGACAGCTTCGTGAAGTAATACATTTTGTTTGATAAAATCTGCCAAACCCCAAAACTTCTCAAAAATGTTCTTTCTTTCTTCTTCATTATAATTTTTTGTGCACGCATTCCGACAACCACAATCTTTGTTTCGAAATTTTTTTCATGAACAATACTTCCGGTTTAACTGCAATATCTTTTTCCTGAATTCCGTTTTATCTTTCGCACTTTTTGGATATATGGTGCATCAATCTTTTCTCCATTGTTATTTGAATCTTCATCCTCTGACGAGGAATATTGTTTTATAACTCTTTTTCTTATTCGCTTTTTTTAAATTATTAATTACTATTTCTTCTTCACTATCTGAACTAAGTGGTCTTCTCCAGTTCTTCCTCATGGGTGCAATAATTTCTATAATTTAATATTAAATTTTAAGTTTTATATTAATTAAACGTACAGGTTAATTACCTAACGCAATTGTCCCAAAAATGAGGTGGACTTGTAAATACTAATTAATTGAAATTACCTTCATCGCTGCTTTCCGTTATTATCAATAGTAAATACCTTGATGTAACTCTAAATGGAGTTAGGCCACTTTCAAACCACACGGGTCAGTTATTCAATTAATTCGGAAAACCTATGTGTAAAAAATGTACCGTATTTTCTCTGAATATAAGCAATCTGACTTGTGTCACTGATAAATAACATGAAGTTGTACATGTAACCATGGTAACCGGTAAAAAATTGAAAAACGGAGTTAGGTCACTTTCAAAATAAACGGCTCAATTAATATTCAAAAAAAGAGAGTTACCCGCTATTTTACAACCTCAATGGAATATTCCTCAACAAATTACAAAACAAAAGGAACAATCGCCTTCCGTTTCGGATAGTTAGAGAACTCTTTCTTGTAGTTACGATGTTTCCCCAGCGCCCACACACTCATCTGATACATCCCAGCGGCGGCAAAAATCAATGCTGGAATACAACTTGTCATGATGGTGAAACCAAGCCAGGCACCGAACTCATACGTGTAATTCGGACACGAAACGAAATTAAACAGCAACGTGAATGGATTGCCATCAGGTTTCGGGATTTTCCTCACCGTGGAACCCGCAGGTCTCAAATTCCTCAACAGAATATGAATGCTGAAGTTCCCAGCCTCACACAGAGCAAACATAATCAACCCAATCAACATTTGATTCGTCGACGGTGGCGTAAACAGTGGATGATTAGTGAAATACGCTACAAACGCAGCGAAACCCCAGTAATATCCACAGTTTTTGAACAAGTTACGAACTGGCATTGTTCCATGAGAGAATCGATGTACAAAGAGCGTTTCCAATAACCTCTTGATATAATGCACACTCCAGCAGAGCCAGGCGATTGTCGCTGTGGTTGTGAGTGGAATATTAGCATCACTGCCGTAGATGATTCGTGGACGCATTGCGAACAAGGCGTAGACAACCAAAGGACCGAAATATTCAGCAAGGAATACTGTAGTCCATGAAATCTGCGGTCCTAGGTCTTTGACGAACAGTTTCGAGCCGTTGCTGAGTGCAAGTGTGGTTGAATCCGAAATGTCTTTGCCTTTTGCTTCACTACGCAGTGATTGTCGGCAGGTGAGCATGCCGGAGGCATCTTGAATAGCTCGCTTGATGTCTTTCACGGTGCTTGTAGTCTCGATGCGGACTTTGCACAGTTGTTTTTTATTCACCAGAAATATCTCCACCTTAAATGTTTTAATTTACGAATTGTGTTGATTGTGGCTGTGATGGTAATCTTACCTCAATCATGACTGCGCGTTTTATTTGCTAGTCGACAGAATTAATTCACGGTGCACCGTGTACGTGCACACGTTGTGCGTTGATTAAATGTGAGTTAATTTACCGTTACAGTGGCGATGTGAGTAGCGATGTACGCCGCTATCGTGCAATCAGGCGACTGGCGATTATAACCGGTTGGATAAATGTGTTATGTAAAATGCCGGTGATCCGTAGTGGGGCGACCGATTGTTTTCGTTGACAAAATGATGACACCGATGACATGCAAACACGTTTTATTCACGTTTACATTTCAATTTCTGATTTTCGTATGCGGTATGCAGTTTTGTATGTGCGTATTACACGAATGTCATTACCCGGTGCACATATTGATTATTTCCATGCGTGTAAATATTCAAAGTCTTACCTTGCATTATATCTCATCATGGGAAGACGTAAAGTCTTATCACAATTAATAACTATTGAATTTACGAAGCGCAACAGCCATAATATTAATTAAATGATTTGTTTTATGACTATTAATACGTATTTATAATAGTATAATTATTTTAAAACACTACTATTAATAACAAAAACAGTTTTATGTAGTAATTGAATTGTTATGTAGTAAGAATTGGTCTGTTTGTGTTTTTGAACGTGTTTTGCTGAATTTTACAATAATACTATTTGTTTGTTGTTTTTTGAATTAGTCTGTATTCTGTCGTCTGATTCCTTATCTGAATTCAATACTGCTACCGCCATCTGCAGTCAAAGCAAATAACTAATTTTTATGTTTACAGTCGCAGGTGCAATTCGCGACTGTTATTGTTTTATCAGCATTGTTAATATTTGCAGAGTTTTGAAATATTATACTACTGTTTTTTATTGTTGAGATTTGCATATATCAGCTGTGGTGTCCGAGTGGTTAAGGAGTTTGACTCGAAATCAAATGGGCTCTGCCCGCACAGGTTCGAATCCTGTCCACAGCGAACCTTTTGGTTTTAGGCCCTTTTATTCACAGGTAAAAATTACCTCAGGTAGATGTTAACATCATTGTTGAATTCAGTTGTACGGAGATTGGTAGTGGCATCTAGCGGTTTGATGTGGAAGTTAAAACTTTCACGCACAGCAAGTTGCATACGATGACGTACTAAAAGTGATAAAAAAAGAAAGAAATGTCCTGCTGGAAGCATTCAAACGTATAAACAACAATAACTATTACAATTCTTAACTATAAAACGACATTTTTTAATCATTAATTCAAAAGTTTTTATGAATTCCTTTTAAAAATAACATAAATGTATAAATTAAAAAAAAAGCGCAAAAATATTAAAACTCAACTTTTTTATAACAATTTTAATATTATTCGAATAAATTCATACTATATTTTACAAAGAAACAAATTTATATATAAATTTCCCTGAACATATTGCAAAAATATCTAAAATTACCCAAAAAACTCAAGAAAACAACAAAATTTAACGTTTCTTTCAATTCTTCTCCTTTACTAATAAATTCACTTACTATACACTCAGCAAAAACATAATAATCAATAATTTATACTTTAGTTTATCTGCAAATATAATTTTATGCGTACCTGACCAACCTTTCGCAATTTTACATAAACTAGTCTCCTAAATCTCACATTCCTACTGCATACGCATTCACGCCTCAGCTAAACGCATACCCACTCAACCTGAAGAAACTTTATGCGCCGATTTGATTCTCGACTTGACACTGCATTTCTTGTATTCGGTTTCTAGCCGGTAGTAAAGTAAACGACAGTTGAATCTTGTCCGTGGTCGTTGAATCTCGCAGAGATCTCGAATGAAAACACATCTGTTGCGTATTAGTAGGTTAGCGGAACACACTCGCAGCCAGCCAGCGTCAGCCGATCATCGATGCTAAATTAGTTGGCGAAACAGACGAGAAAACCTACACACACACACACACCGAGCACAAATCTTCAACATAACGAAGTATTACGTCTCGTTCTAACTCCAATACCCGATGGTGTTGCATTAAGATTAATGCGCATTTCTGTTTTCATTCGACGTTTTTCCAGTTGAAGAACGAGTACACTTGAGCACTTCAACAACGCGCGACTAGTTATTCAGCTTTTTTACTTCTTTTCAATCGATTGCGCGTCGTTAGCGAATTATTAAATAACTCACGCGATGAAGTATTGATAGAGGAAAGCTTATTAAAAGTTTTTTAATTGCGCAGCGCTACGGGAATGACAAAAATTTCATTTTAACTTTAGAATTTGAAAAATTAACTTTTAAACTTATTTTAAAAAGGTTTTGATGTTTAAATAAATAAATACTTGTTATAATTAATTAATATAATCATTTATGATGCAATTAGCGCTAAATTTACCACTAAATGTCGGTTAATGTTACGGTTCTGTCGTTTTTTACCTTTTGCTTTACTTCACTGAAGTTTTCCTTCTATTCTATCTGTAATATACCGTACACCGGTGTTACAGCGGTAGAAAATTGCAGAACCACTGCAGATTCTGCACGCACCGCATTAATTGCGTTAGTTCGGCGCTTAATCGCGCAAGAAAGTGAATATTTACGGCGATAAACGCGCGCAGATTCATCCGTTTCGTCCGGTTCACGTTCCAGCTAACGCGCCGGCGACGTAAAGAAAGCACGGATGTTACGCGGAGCAGCAAATTAATGAGTGTGGATTTTTTTCGGTGTCGGCGCGCGGCTCGCTCGTTATAACTTAACAAACCGTCTATTAGCCATTTGACCAACATACGAAATGAACCGCCAGCCACCAGCTGGGCGTGCTGCAGCGTCTTCAAACGTTTTTTCTTTTAATTCTTACTGTTACGAAGAGGTTACTAATAGAGATTTAATTTTATGTCTTATATTGGACTTTTACTTTGTCGGAAATGTATAGTTAAAGTTTAATTAGAAAGAAGAGTCTTATTTTGACATTTTACCACTTAACAATAATATATTATAGGTTAAAATGTTACAATATTTAAAGATAATATTAATATCTACTAATATCAACAAAAATAATTTAAAAATCTTTTTTAGTTTCTGAGTTATAACGGTTTTTCCATCGATTAAGTCATGATTACATTCATTTACTTTTTCTTCCACCACATGAAGACGGACAAACACACATATTTGATATTAAACAACTTAATTCTCTATTAAATTTCCTTTCTAATGATACCTCACTCGAAACTCTACCTTATTTCAATCTCAAGTTATCACGCATTAAACTTACATAATTATTTTCCTCACAGCCATTTTACTGCCAGCTGGAATTCTGAACACACAGCGCCCTCACACGCAGCTAACACCAACCCAAACCATCAATTAGCCCCAAACATAACCTATACTTCATCCTAACCTAACCTAATTTACAAATGTTATCTAAAGTTATCGCGTTTGCATAATTTCTCCGATATTACACACCATACTGAATGAATTCTGAATCGAATGTGTGTTACATAAATGTATTCCGCTTTCCAATCGCGCGGGCTCGTTACGAAGGCATCTCCTCGTATGCCGGCGCTGGTTGAGTAACACGAATGCATATTTTAAGTCCGGAAAAAATAATAAATAAATAATCGTGCCATCATATTGCTAATAGCGGGCGTGGCAAAACGGAGTAAAAACGCAACCAGAATTTGAATTTCTGTCCGGCATCCAAACACTAATCACGATCTAAAGCGGCCGATGTAAATTTAGGCCCGGCGAATAAATTTCCGATTTTATCTTTTATCACCAGCGCTTATCTCGGGGCGGACAGTGTCCACCTGATATTTACCATTGCGTTATAATTTACAGCCAAACAAACAAACCGTTTTTCGAATCTCGATGCTCTATAGTAGAATCTATTTGTAAAGAAAAGAGGTGGAGTGCATGAAATCGATTAAGGTCGCCATTCCAATTCTACGTTTGGTTTTATTAAACTGCCATAGTTTCAGTAACATCATAACATTATAACTACATAACCTCAACCGTTTAATTTTAATCGTTTTAGGTTAGTATTTCTGCGGTTTAGGTTATGTCTGCGTATAAATGCGTTGAAATGTTGAAGAAGTAGTCTAGCCGCTGTCCAACACTGCAATAAATAGGTTACTGTAACGAGGCGTTTGTTATTTCCGCTGAAATTCCATTCGTTAATTGGAAAATGGCAACCTCTTGATGTTACAATGTCATTCATCGAATACATACCAACTCGTAACAAACAAACATAACCTAAACTCCCCGCTGAGCCATAACACTAACTTTTCTCGTTTGATTTTACGAGTTGCGAGGCAAGTTTGTCACTCGCCGGTAGTTTTACGACTTTTGTTTGACATTTTTTAATTTTTTAGGTTAAAATGTAAAACAGAGGTTATGTACGGGTGTCGAAATAAATGTGCTAAAATGAAAGTGTGATGATACTTAAATCGAGCGCAAATTGGCCATAAAAAACAGTTTATTTATTTGGGATGGCCTCACCTACATCCGATTCTAATCGAGAACAATCCGAATTCACATTCGTGCCGAGCCTGTGTGCGGCTTAATACTTACTTGGTTACTTTCGACTTTGTTTCGTCTGCGCGTCAATTGCTGCTTCCTTCCTTGAGTTGGAATTTAGTTAGAAAATTAGAGTATGAGGTTTTGGTCGACGAAACAATGCAATGATATAAATTATTTCGGACAGATTCGAAGCATGAGATAGGAGCGAAACGAAAACTTTAAATGGTGGCATTGCGGGAAACAAAAGACGCGCGGAAATAACAAAGCACATGAGCGCATAAATAAATAATAATACGGAATGTTAATCTTGAAAATATTAGAAAGTATTGTTTAGGCGGAGAGAAAACAATTGGATTTATGGGTAGCCAAAGGTTGGTGTGGAAGCTGCGTGTGAGGGCACTAGTTGTTCAGGAAACCAGCTGAAAGCAAAATGGCTGTGCAAAAGTAATGATTTTTTCAAAACGCTTTATCTCAGGAAGAAAATATCAGAAAAGTTTGAATAAATTATCATTAGAAAGAGAATTTATTATAGATTTAATGTAAAAGTATCAAATGTATACATTAAAACGCATAAATTAAAATTTATGAGAGATTTACCAAACGTCTGAAATCATATTGGAAATCGAAAAAACATAAATTTCTCTTCCAATTTCATGCAATTAATAACAATTGACAAGCAATTTCGTTCCTTGTTCACGTATTGTGCATTGTTTGGTATTATTGAAGTAAATTTAATTGACGTGGAAGTAATTTGCTTGTCTTTAACAAGGAATTACCGACTCCAAGAAAGTTCAAACGCAATCGCCGAAAAATGACCGCCCGATTGTTCATAATATCATAATTGTGATGATTATGA